ATGGACGTGCTGGAGGGTTCATCGTGCCCCATTGTGTCTCCGTGGGGACAGCTCTGGCCTGGTTTGCCCAAAAGCCCGTTATATCCCCCCACGTAATGTAGAGCAGAGATGTGCCAGGCCTCCCACATGGTGACAGGGTCCCCCCAGGGGTCTGAGCCTTCCGCTTCCCACAGGCCCCATCTAGCTGAAAATGGCCCTGGCCAGGGCCGAGCTGGCGCTTCTCCTGACGGAGCTGCTCCACTTGGTATAAATAAATATTCCTCAGTGTGATGGGGGCTGGGGGGGACCCACCTGCCTCTGCCTCCTGGCCTGACCTGTTTCAGGGTGCCCTGCTCCTACCGCTGCCTCCCGCACCTCGGCACTTTGCCAGAGCAACACACAGCAGCACCGATGCTGAGGGCAGCCTGAGTGCCCCAGCAAAGCCCACGGCCCAAATCTCTGCCCCCATGGGCACAAGGGCACAGGTTTCCTGCAGGGCTGGGCAGGCAGGGGAGCGTTTGCTCGCTCCCCACCAACCTGGCTCTCTTTGCAGGAGGAAGGGGAAGGGGGTCGGTGGGTGGTGGTACCCCACGGTCTCCCCCCCAGCAACAGCCCTGGGGAGGTGCCCGTGGCACATTTCCGGGGGAGAAGGGCAAAGCCAGGACAGACACGCGGTCGGTTGCACAACCCTGGCATGGCCAGGCAGGAGGGACAGGGCACGGCGGTGTCAGCCAGCCCCTCGGCAGGGACGGGCAGGGTGGGGATGGAGAGGGGTGACAGCACAGGGGGGCGATTTGGCATGGGGTCTGCATAGAGCTTTAGCAGGGCTCCGAGGGGAGGCTGGCAGCGATAAATAAGGAGCAGCACATCCCAGGCTGCAAAGATGGGTGCCAGGACCGCAGGAGACTGACCCCCCCGATGGGATCTTGGGAGGATTGTGGGGGTCTGACACCTCCCTGCCACCCACCACCAGCCCAAAGGTGGCTGAAAGCCTGGAGCTGTCCCCGTCCGTCCCCTTCCCCTGGGGGTACAGGTGTCCCCAGTAAGCAGCTGCCAGCCCCGTGCTCTGCAGTGTGTCGGGGAGCAAGGGTGCAGAGGAGCTGCGCCATGGCCCAGGCATTGCCTGGCTGGGACACAGCCCCCGCACGAGGCCGGCTGCCAAGTAAGAAGCATAGCCCACATCCTGCTCACCACTGAGATATTCCTGCCGGCCGCAGCTGGCCTAGCTCCCCGCCAGCCGTGGGCAGGTCCAACGTGAGCACAGCCACGGTGCCACGCTCACTGTGGGCTCCTCCACCTATGGTGCCCAGCTGGAGCTCTGGCAGACAGAGCCATGTTTGCTCTCTTATCTCCATGCAGGGCAAGGCATGAGCACGGGCTGGCACCGCTCAGCTGGGGCTGCAAGGTGCCGCGGAGGGGGTAGGCACCCTCTTGCAGGGTGGCTGGGGACCACCGGCTGTCCCTGTCCCCCTCTTGGTGTCACCGCTGGTCCCCAGGGGGACTTGCTCAGCCCAGACCAAGCACTGAACTCAGCTGGACATGGCTGTGGTACTATTGTAAGTTGTATTTTCAGTCCATGCTGGTGAACCCCATCCATCTGTCCCAGGCGCGGGCAGCACAGCCCACAGCACAGCCCTGCTCTGCCTGCAGAGCCCCTCCAGTTCCTGGCCCCGTGCCAGGGATGTGTCCCCGGTGCAGGAAGGGTTCCCACTCCATCTGCCCCTCCACTGCTGCAGTCATGTGTCACCTGGTGCCCAGTGGGATGCAGGCGATGCCCAGCTCAGGGGTCACCTCCCTCGGCTGCCCACTCCAGCTCCTCTGCTGCCTCAACCGCTCTGGGCTCACCGGCAGCGCCAGGGTATCCAGGGCACCTGGGTTCATAGGCTTGCTCCCAGGCTGGCATCACCACCCAGCATCAGCCCCAGGGGCAAAGTGGGAGCCGGGCTCCTCTCCCCATGCATAGCCCAGCCTGGAGGCACAAACCCAGCGCTATTTGTCGAGGATGAGGAAGAGCAGCACCATCAGGACGATGGGAAGGAAGATAAGGAGCAGACTGAGCATCTCAGCTGCCAGCAGCAGCACCAGCACCACGAGGTAGCAGCAGCGGCAGCGATGCTCCAGCTGCCCCAGCCTGCGGATGAGGCAGGGTGGGTAGCGGACGCAGGGCAGGCACCCGAACATGCGGCTGGTGTGGAAGCGCACCTGGAAGCGATGCTCGAGGGCACCGATGAGGCCTGGACGCCGGGGCGGCAGGGCGGGGGGCCTGGGGGTAGCCAGGGCGCTGGGGGAGCCAGGCTGGGCGTGCAGCAGGAGCAGCTCCTCTTGCAGTTTGCAGATCTCCCACTCCAGCATGGGCGTCTTCTGGCGGCAGATGGGGCAGCGCACGCGGCCGAACTCGGCGCTGGCGGCTGTGTCCATAATGGCGCGCAGGCAGGCGTGGCACAGCACATGGTTACAGTTGAGCAGGGCTGGTTTGTGCCGCTGGTCGTCGTAAGGCTCCGTGCAGATGGGGCACTCATCCTCGCTGCCCGCCGGCACGTGGCATGGCTCTGCCACCGCCGCCGCCGCCGCCACCTCCTCGTCACTTGACATATCCTCTTCCTCACCGGAGAGGCTGAGGATGGAGCTGGAGGCACTTTCCAGGCTGGACGACCCCCTCTGCGGCACTGGGCTCTCTCCACAGGGCAAGATGGGGCTGGTGGCAGCGGCAGCGGGAGGGTCCTGCCCCGCAGGCAGGGAGGCACCGTGGGCAGGCAGCTCGTTGTGCCCTGGCAGGAGCGGCTCAGTTGTGTCCTCCGCCGGTGGCAGGTTCCAGCAGCCCCAGGTAGTGGCGGCCGCCTCTCCACAGAGCTGGGGCGGCTCCCTGGGGCCCCCTGACTCCACAGTCTCGCTCTCGCCCTGCTGCCTGGCACAGCCCTCCCCGCCGGCTGCCTGCACCGGCTGGGGGCCAGGCTCTGCCTCCTCGCCCGCTGCTGGCTCCATGGGGGTGGCTGCTCCACAGCTGCCCTCCTCACCCACCACCCCCCGAGTCCCCTCGGGGCTGGGTGCGGGATGGGGGTGCTGCCCCAGGGCAGGAGGTGGCCTTCAGCACGTTTGCCAGAAGGTGTCCGCACAGAGTCCCATCATCCCTCCAGCACAGTTTGGGACCCCCTCCCAGGCCAATGGGTCAGGAGCTCCCAAAACGGGGCACATGCCCATCACCCTCACCGATAGCCCACCCCAAGCGGGGCATCGCCGTGAGCATCCAACAGCCACTTCTTCCTCTTCCTCCTCCTTCTCCTCTTCCTCCTCCCCAGCAGCAACGTAGAACTGACCCGCCACAGTCCAGAGGAGAGGACAACGAGCAGGGTGCTGCCAGGCACTGCCTGCTGTGCCGGCAAGGGGTGCAGGCGTGGCAGGCACCCGTGCAGGCAGCTGCTGCCTGCCTTGGGCTGGGGCCGAGCCTGGCTCTAACCAGTCTGGTTTGTCAGCTTCTGGAAGTGGCTCAAATGCAGGCAGCCCGGGGCAGGCAGCAGTGCCCGCGCCAATCAGCTCCCGCAGGAGCCGGGGAGGAGCTGGGCCCATGGCCGCCTCTTCTCCTTGCCCAGCAAAAATGGAGCCCCCTCTGCAGCCAGTGCTCCCCACACCGCTGCCCGTGGGGCATGGCAGCATGGGCCCTGCGCTGCCCCAGTACAGCCCCCCAGCTCAGACCCCAGTATAGCGCACCAGCATGTGTCCTGTACTGCCCCAGTACAGTCGTCCCCCTCCAGCTCACCCCTGTCCCCCAGGCTGGTCCCTGTGCTGGGCCACCTCGCCTTGCTGTGCCCCCTAAGCAGCTTGCAGGGCTTGGAAAGAAGAACGCAGCCTGGATAGTGCCCCATGCGAGGGGACAGTGTCACCAGTGTGATGACTGCCATGCAGCAGCACTGCACTGGCCCCCCAGCTGTGCCCAGGGCATGGGGACACCCAGGCCAGCCAGGTTCTGTAAGTGCAACAGCTCCTTGCAGCAAGGCACCACTGGCAAAGCAGCAGGGTGGAGAGACCCGAAAAGCACCCCATTTCCACTCACTGCAGTGCCGTAGCACAAGCACTGCCCCAGGGCACCACTCACCCGTGCAGGACCCCATGATCCGGCACGTGGGAGGGTGGCTGGGTCGTGGTGTGGCACCGCTGTCCCTTCCTGTCCCAGCCTGCTCCCAGGGACTGTCCCCAGCTGATTCATGCTCTGGGCCCTAATTGCTATTTACACAGCGGCACCGAGTTCGCTGAACTGGGGGAGGAAGGTAGGGGCACTGGCCCCACTGGGCCACTGGCAGGGCCAGCAGGGTGCACAGCCCCGAGGCTGCCACAGAAGGGCTGGAGCCTGCTGGCTTGCCTGGCCCTGGCTGGAAGCGGCTCCGAAGATGGGGTGGAGAACAAGTCCAGCAGAGCAGGTGCTCAGGGAACGGGATAATTCAGTGGGAACAGGCACTCGGAGACCTCTGACTTCAGCATCAAGCAGGCTTAGGAAGATGAACTGGCAGCAGAGACAGAGGGATTGAAGCTTCCTCCTGCACCCACCCCCACTGGCCTCAGCCATCGGAGACAGGGGGAACAGGTCTGTCAAGGCAGCCTTCTGCAGCAAGCACTGCTGCCGCTGACTAATGCCAGGGTGGAGAGACTCCCATGCAACAGCTCACTTCCTCTAGGTCTTACCACAAACAACGGCCGCTGCCAATGCCGTAGCTCTAGCAATGCCCACGGGTGCACACCCAGCATGGGGACCCCAGGAGCTGGAGCATGCGGGACAGCAGCTTGGTCCCACACAGGAGTCAGCCAGCAGCATCCCACCACAGAGACTTCTCGCCTCCACTCCAGTGGGGGGGGCATGGCGAGCCAGGCTTTACCCACGCCAAACCCACACCCCCAGGAGACAGGTTCCCCCTGCCCGCTGTGGCCCTGCTGCCATCAGGGAAGGGCTGGTTGGGTAAATCCACTCCCTTCGCCAGGCCCCCACACTGGCTGGGATAATCTCAGCCCAAGGATGATGCCAGAGGTGGATCGTTTTGCTGGCTCCTTTATTCAGGCAGAGTTTGCGGGGAAGGCAGAGGCAGGGAGCCAGCTTACGACCAGGTTTCAGACTGGAAGCGCTGGGACCGTTCCAGGGCTATTAAATGCTCCTCTGCTTCGGAGGGTGACAGGCCACCTTCCAGCTGCAACACCAACTGCAGGGCTTCGGCCACCGCCACTGGCATCTGCTTGGCATTCCTGGAAGAGAGAGCAGGCAGTGCAATGGAGAGAGAGCAGGAAAACTGGGAGCATATCTGCAGCCCCAGCGCTCTGACAAGGCAGCCCATCACCAGGGCAGCGGTCCCTGCAGCCAAACTCGCCGCCCCCAGCACACACCACAGGCTGCCACCGCACTAGGGCAGTGGGAACCTGCCTCACCCTGCAACACAAGCTGCCTGGCACTGAATAAATGAGAGGCTTCAAGAGGCAGCTCGTACCACCCCCTAGAGAGTAGGCCATTATCCACGCAGGGCTTTTCGGCACTGGCATTTGCAGGCCAAGACATGGCCATGGTACCCAGTCCCCAGTGAAGGAGCATCACAGCTCAGTAGCCCTAACTCTGGCCCCCGTATTGCTCCATTTCCCATTGCTTTCATTAGAGGGACACAGGGAATATGCACAAGTCATAATTTATCTGCAGGAGGGCAGGAAACTGTCCTTTCATCTTGGGAAACATACAATGTAAAACATGTCTGATCCTGAGCTGGGTAAGATGACTGCTGCAAAGGAGCAGCTGCTTCCGTCCATCCGCTGCCTCCTTTTAAGAAATCTGAAATTATTGTTTTGATGGCAACATTTGTAACCAAAGCCAGTTCAAACCTCAAAATAAGAGAAATGGTGAGGAAAACATGAGCTCCTGTGTAGAAAATACCCAAACAGGATTCAACACTTGCAAGCACAATTATTTCTTATGGGAAATAAGAAGTTCAGACTTTTTCCTGGAGAGAGTTTCATTTGATGAACTGACTGTGCGACAAAAAAACATCTAATAAAAAATTTCCCAGGCTGCTCCAATTGGCATGAGCATCTGGCAATGTCCTTGCTGTTTCTCAAGAACAAGGCAGAATTCTGACTTGTGTTTGAAGCTGATTAACATCCCAAAATACACAGAAAGGAGGTCTTCTTTTTTTGGAAGAGTCATATCGTTTCTGAGTCAGGCACTGATATGCAAGTGCAAGATAATGTAGCTGGGCTGGTGATGGAAAACATGTCAAATATCTATTTTTTGCAGAAAGAGAGAGACATTTTTGACCTTTTTGTCCCGGGTGAGATAAGCTGGGCACAATCACAGAGAATATACAGCCCTGGCTCCCCAGACCCTGCCCCAGTCAGCAAGGTCCCAGGAAGACAGACACACCATGCTACATGGCCCAGGGCCGCTGCTCAGGGACACACACCCCAGGATTCACTTCTCCCATCTTTCTCCTAGTGTGGCTGAAACTGAATACTATTTTTAGGGGAAAAAAAGGCCATTTTCAGGCTAGCCCACCTGCACTTTCCTGTTTGGCACCCTACTGGCAGTTCAGAGTCTGCAGGCCAAGGAGGGGCACTGTGATCTCGGGCATCTTTACGCGTGGTGTGGGCTGTTCAGGAGGGGTGAGAAAGTGCCCACTGTACACACGACAGTTGCCACTTGTACAAGCAGGATGAGGCTCTCAGACCCCACCTGCCTGATTGGGGCTGAGGGCTACCCCATGCCAGGGACGAAGACCCCAGTGAGATGGGTCTCGGAGCACCCCCGATGTCCAAAACACCATCCTTATGGCTACTGAAAAATCCTGCAATGGGGAGAGCTGTGCAAGCCTTGCTCTTTCCAAGACACTGATCCTTTTTTGGCAGCCCCCAGGGTGTCTCCATCAGCACCAGAAAGCAGTAAAGAGGACGGAAGAAAAAGAGGACAGAGCCATCCAAGACACCATGCCCAACGGTCACCCAACAGCTGCCCAATGGTCTCAGCATTTGGGCTGTGGACAGTGGCACAACCCCAAGTCCCAAGTGCAACTTTATGGAGGAGACCAAACCTGAACCCCAGATCCATGGGTAGGAATGACCAGTTTGGAGTAAGGGCCCCAGGAAGCCCTACGACGTGGTGAGGCAGGCCAGACCAGGCAGCAACACTGGTGTAGCAGTGAACAACAGAGCGGTGGGCGGCCTGGCCTCTGCTTCCTGGACAGTAAACAAAAATCTCCTTCTCCCAGGAATGCAGCGAGGCCAGTCTCACCCTGCAGGGCACTGGGGAAGTTCCTGCTCTCATGAGGGACAGGCAAGAAAGAGTCTCCTGCAATTGCTGCTTGTGTCGACAGCAAGGGACAGGTTTGCACAGTGCTTTCCAGGTCACGGAATGCACGACAAACACCATCGCCAGCCTCTCATCAGCTCAAGGAGCCCAAAGCATTTCACAATGCTCACCCTGGGCAGCAGGTGAGCAGCCTCCTCCCTGCCGTACCGGCAGTGACTAGGGCAGGCAGGTTAAGCACTTTGCCCAGGAAAAGAGCCACAGAGCTAGGAACGGAGCTACAGATTTTCTGCCTCCAAAGGCCAGACCCCACTTTTTGGCCAACAGTTTAAGATTTCCAACCAGCCCAAGGTAACCACCTGGTGAATGACTGCGCTGTCAAAGGAGGCAGGCTGCGGTGCAACATGGCTTGTCCCTACCCCAGGAAGGCAGTTTTGGGTGCAAAGAGCCAGACAGGATGTGCAGAGGGTCCCAAAAGCTGTTGTTCACGAGCCCGAGCACCAGTGGAGCTGGTGCTTTAAAAGCTTCCTGTCCACCTGAGCGGCCACAGGAACCGCACAAGCCTTTTTGTCCAGTTTCACCAAGTCCCGCTGGAGGAGTGGGGTGTGAAGAGGCCGGGGCTGTCCTGTGTATGGCTTTGCCATGGGTCAGAGGCCAGGCAGCCTGCTGGCAGGTGATGCTGGTAACGGGCACTGGCAGTTGAAGGGATGGGCACACGGGGTCGGATAGAGCAGCTTTACCAGGGTTCCAGCTCTGCCCCTCCTAACTGGAGTGCAGAGTAGGTGAGAAATGGCCTTCTCGGTGCAGGGCTTGTGGAACATGACATACAGAGAGGAGGAATGAGCTGGTCCCTCTGCAGCAGTCACTGCAGCCCCTAGAGACCTGCCAGGGTGCATGGTGCGCTCAGTCTGGAGGCTGAACCAAGGAAAAGCCTCCAGCGAGGTGGAGAAGCAGCAATGTGCAGTTCCACTGCCCCAGTCCCTGCACAGCGACCTCTCACTCACCCAGCCAGGTAGATGTGAGCGTTCCTGCTGTTCAGCAGCTCCCACACCAGCCTTTGGTTCTCCTGGATGCGGTGCTGAACATAAACCTTCTCCTCCTGCAGGGAAACACAGTGCTGAGCCTGCCAGCCCTGGCAGCAGCCCCAGCCCCAGCTCCAGCATGCCTGCCCGGTGCCTGGGGACTGTTCTCAAGAGGCTGCTTACAAGAGCTCAGGGCAGCACAGTCCCCCAGAGCAGGGAGCACTGGAAGAAGAAGTTGGATCCACTATAGCACAGGGAAGGGGATCCCCACACCTGATGTCAGCGCACTAGGATGGGTTGGTGGGAGATCGGTTCAGCAGCAGGAGCTTTGGTGGAGAACACGCCCCAGGCAGCCCCCAAAAATCCTTTGGCTACCCCCTGCCTCCCTCCAGCTCTGGTGAACAGCCAGGGCTATGAGCTGGGGAGTCCTTGCGAGGGGTCCCCTCCTGCCCTCTCCTCTCCCAGCATGGGCAGAGGAGGCTCTGTGCCCCTCCCTATACCAAGGTTGCTGCAGAGACCCTTCCCCACACCCCTGGATGGTGGTCCCAGCCCTGTCACCTGCTGGAGACATGAAACAGCTTGGAAGGGCAGAAAGCTTGGAGGGATGGCCTCGGTCCCACTCCCTCCCCCTCCGCCATGCTTAGGGACTGGATACAACTGGGTTTTGGCACAATATAGTCCAACCCAGGAGAGTTTCCAAAGGGTTAATCCACAAGACTTCACACATCCAAGCAACTGCCTACGGCCCTGGCTTCTGCCCAAGAGGAACACCATTGCCAACATGCCTGAATTCACTGCTGGCCCAGATGGCTCCTCCGTGACAAAGGTGACACTGTGATGGAGGCCAAGCCCTCTGCTGCATGTCCCACCACACCAGGCTCCGCACAGCTGTGAGCTGAGCCACAGGCGCAGCCTCCTCCCCATGTCCTCCTCCCTCCCATCCAGCCCCAAAAGCAACAAGGCTTTTGCTGCGTGTCAGGCTCCCTGCATGCTGCAGTCTGGAGGTGTGCGTGGGAACAACCCCAAGCAGCAACGAGCCCCGGCTGTCACAAGAGCTGGTCGCCGTGTTGTCAGCAGGTCCCACGCAGCTCCACTGGTTGCATTGCGCTGTAGTCAGGTCACCCAAAGGCACAGCCCCACTGCTCCGACCCAGCTGCTGGCAACGCAGGAGGTAAGCAAGCCCATCACAAGCACCAACAGAGCCAGCCAGTAGCTCAGCTTCAGCACATTAACATTAATCAGCTAAGTGCTGACAGAGGCTCTGCTGACGAAGCTGGGGCTCCGAGGGGGTCATTTAAGGACCTGCAGCTACCTAGAAACCAGAGCACCCCAGTGACAAACTCAGGTCACAATGTCTCAGCTAAACCCCAGGGCATCCTGCTGAGAATTAGCAACAGCCGCATTAGGCTGGGATCAATCAGTCTGCACCACGGGGCAGACATGGTGTGACAGAAGGTCACTGCAAAGGGGACCTTACAGAGAAGAGAGAAATCCTGCTCAGCTATGGAGCATCCCAGCTCCTGCCAAGCTCTTTGAAAACAAACTTTTGGATGAGTTAACAGCTGTGGCACCTCCTAGAGCCACAGGTACAATGGCCCAATGTGGCACATCTTACCTGGCTGCGCTCTTGCTTGCCTCCCTGCAAGGACTCGGTGGCAGAAGACCCTCATGACAAACTGCTTTGCCCCACAGAGCAGGCAAAGCAGGGAGGCTGGGAGGCACGCTCTGATGTGAGTCCCATCTCTCCAGAGTCTTTGGGGGCAGGAGGAGACTCTGGGGCCACTCTCCAGATTTGGGGAACTGCAGGTGCCCCCCCTTCACTGTGTAAGCCACCAGAAAAAAAGCAGACCGGTCATCCAACAAACCTCTGCAGTGCTGCTCCTGTTCATCAAACACTTGGAAAGCCTTCACAGAGGCATTCAACTCATGCCTTACAAGCGACTGGATAGAAGATGCTGGCTTCATGTCAATGCATGCACAAAGCCAGGAGAAAAGGACTGGTGCAGCTGAGCTACCTAGAAATGCCCATTCTCACTGACCCTTTTTATCAGATCTCTCTGTTTCAAAGGCAGGCTGAGCCTTCAGTGCCATCAAGGGACAGGGCAAAGCAGTGAAACAGAGTCCCAGCTTACGGAGCCCCTCCAGCAATGTAAAAAGCTGTGCAGCCCAGAGAGGGGCTGAGAGCTGCCCATCAAAGACACTGCCTAGGAAATAAGGGAGCCAAATGAGGGGCTGAGTTGCGGGGGTGCTCATACCTCCAGGGAGCTTTCTCCTGTACGGCTGAGGCTCGGGGAGAGCTGGCACAGAGGCCAAGATCCTCAGCTTTAGCCCGTGATCAGAGGGACGTGGTGGGGAGGGTGGCACTCAACCAAGAAACGCCCAGTGACACCCCCCCCGCCCCCAAGAGGCTCAGGAGCCTTTTATCACTGACATGGTCCGGCCAAACAAAGCTGGCTAACCCCTTATCTGCTCGGGTGCTCACCGGCCCTGTACCAGCAACCTTTCCAGCTCACCTCAGCCAGACACATCCCAGCTGGGCAGTGGCACTGCAATGCTAGTGACGATCCCAGCCAGGACCAGGGAGGTGTGGGGAAGAGAAGTGACCACTGTGTCACCCCACCAGCCCCTTTGCAGGCCATGCCAACAGGACAGGGGCCAGAAACACTGGCAGAGTCCCATCAGTGCTGCCTAAGATGCTTCTGTATCCACCCTCCCCCTCTGGGAACTAACCTGGTCCCTGGAGAAGGCAGTGAAGAGCGTCAGGAAGCCCTTTGTCACCAGCTCTTCCCACTCCGCCTGGCAGTAGAAGTCCTTGGATTTCTGGCGGCAGCCAAAGAACAAGCAGTTCCCTGCAGAGAGCAGACCACAAGGGCTGTGCTGGGTGGACCGAATGCCCTGCGAGTGCTGGGGACTGTTGGTGCCCATGGGACCTGTGGCAGAGCCCCAAGACTCTCACCTCTCTACTGCGCCTGGCTGACAGCCCTGGCCTGGAAAAGCCAGGAGCCACGTGAGCGTGAAGACAAGTGACCTGTGGCAACGAGAGGCCTCTGTGTGCTGGAAAAGCAGGAGGTGGGGGGCAGGTAGGTCAAGAAGAGCCCCCCAGGGCTGCCAGTTCCCCTCCACCAGCCTCAGCTTCCTGCCGAAACCCACAGCTGAGCCAGGGGAACGAGGATGGGCCAAGGGCAGAGGCATGACTCCTTGTGCAGCCAAAGACAAGTCCAGCAACCCATCTCCACTTACAGAGAGCCAAGAAAGAGCCTCTGCAGAGCCCTGCCCTGACCCAAGGAGCAGCCTTGCAGCACATCCTGTGAATAACCACACAGGCTGCATACACCAGGCTCTGATCCTTACCTGCCCCAGAGCCCAGCTTGCTCCCACTCAAACACAGCAAAGCCTGGGCCTGTCCAAACCCTCCAGAGCCCTCAGTCCCTCCTTCCCATATGCTGAACACAGACCTGTCTGCAGCAAGGGACATCCAGAGTCCCTCCCAGGACCATTCCTCACCTCTACGTCCTTGTGCCACCCGCTCCTGTATCGCTGCTCGGAAAGGTGCCACCCCTGTGCCAGGGCCAATCATGATCACAGGGGTGTCAGGGTCAGCTGGGAACTTCATTCCTCCTTTCTTCACCCAGAGAGGTACCCGGAAATCACCTGCAAAAAAACCCAGACCAACTACCATCACCCCACCACCATGGCATCTGTGACACCCTGCAGAGGATGAGCTGGACATCCAGCTCTTCCAGGATGCTCCGAAGATTAGGACAGCACCTGGCTTAGCACCACCCCAGCACCATGGCACCCCTGGTGCCATGGGCACACTATGTGCGTATGAAAAATGCTTCAGCTGTCTCAGCAAGCACTTGAGCAATCTTCAGAGCAAGGCAACGGCCCCACAGCACATGGGCTGTGGGACAGCCTCCTCCTCACACAGCTGATACCAGGGAAGACAGCAGTGGAGGCAAGCAGAGATCTCAACCTGGCTGTTGTGTAAGGGAGGGCCAAACTTGCCTCCTCTGGGAGCCAGAATAGGGGTGAAGATCCCCATCTAGGTACTCTGAGAAGACCCAGTCTTGCCCTGAAGTCATACAGAGCAATTCTCTACCATCCTGCAGCAGGGAGACTCTGTGAGCTTGTCAATTTTGCTTGGGGACCCAGCTGGATGGGTTTTGTGGTTAGGGCAGATAAGCAGCACACAGGCTTCACAGGACAGGATGGATGTGCTCAAAGGAAGGACCATCCTTCCCAGAGCTGGTGCTATGGGTCTGGAGGTATCCAGCAGTCAGAGCACTACCAGCTCCATGATGCCAGAAGCAGCCCACTGTGAGACAGTGGGGCATGCTGGTGCTGGGATCAGGAGGGTTGAGCAGCTGGGAGACAACCAGGAGCTCAGGGTGCTCAGGGCAAGCTGGAGGAGCACACCATGCTCTGAAGAAGATGGGAGCAGTGAGGAAGGACGTGTACTGTGAGGTCAGCCTGTCTGGCCAAGCCAGTGTGCTCCAGCTCCCCATGGTGGTGCTGCTCCACCCAGGGTCCAGGCAGTCCAGCATGTGGCCAGCACACACACAGCTCCACCACAGTCCCGTGGGATCAGTGCTGTGTGCTGTGGCAAGCACACAGGGTCCTCACAGAATCCAAGCAATTACCTTGCTCTGGGTTGAGAGAAGCCAACCAGGTAGAACAGAGACCACGGCGGGGTTTACTGAGCTGTGTCTTGTACCGCACTACTGCCACGAGGATCTGGATCCGATCAGGGTGAGCCTGTGTCCAGACAGGAGCCATGAGAAACAAGAAGACACCCAGCACAGCTCTGCAGGAAGAGCCCAGTGCCTTCTCCAGGGACAAAGCCTGTGCCAGCTCCTGCCAGGGCATCTGCAACACTCATCCTAGCCTGAAACCACTGCTCAGACAACAGAAGGGAGCACACCCTTGTCCAAAATCTTTCCACTGGGGAAGGGAGTTTTCCCAGAGAAGCACTGCTGCAGGAATGCTCTGCACAGCTGGCAATGGCGACAGAGACTTTCCAACCCAAGAGGTCCCCACTGAGGGCAAATGCCACTCATGCTTGGGCTGACATCTGCCAAGCCACCTGGGCCAGGTCCCACTGCCACCTCCTGGCAGCAGCAGGAAGCAGCACTCCCCCTCCCATGGCCACACCACCCAGGGAAGCTCCCAGCCTCTGTGGCCGCTCCCGGTGACAAGGACACCAGACTTCTGCAGTGCACTGGGCCAGCCCCAGCACCTACAGGGCTGCAGGAGAGTAAGCACCCTGATCCAGAGGCTGGCACAGCCCTGGGGTTTCCATCCAGCATGTCGGGCTGACGCAGGCTCACAGTGGAGTGGGTGTTCAGGTGGGATGTGGGTGCTCAGAGGGTCTGGAAATACAGCCTGAACGGCTGCAGCGTGCATAGTGTCAACAGTCAGCCCTGGCCCTACCAGACCCTCAGCTCAGAGTGTGACACTAGGCTGAAAAGGGCTGAGCTCTTACCAGCATGGAGGAGGCGATGGAGAAGGCGCGGGGTCTGATGCGAGGGATGAGGTCCAGCAGGTATTCAGGTGGAATGGCACAGGTAGTGTGGGGGAAATCCCAGAGGGTCTGCGAAGACAAGGCGAGGTGAGACCTGGTACACACCAGAAGGCAGCCTACCTGCTTCTCAGGGCATCAGAGGCTGTTACACACTGCCGTGCCACGCTGCCCTCAACCAAAGGCACCGCACCGGGTACCTCTGAGCACCAACCGCCCTGCCCTACTGCCTTCCCCTCACCCCTAGGCTGCAGCACAGAGCCCAGAAGGATTTGGAGCAGGTCTTAACCACCAGTGGAAATCCAAGGACACTTCAGAAAGTGGGTGAAGTAGATTAAATTCCTCAGCCAAGAAATTATGGCTGATCATCTGCCTGGATGCTTTGTGACATGGCACAGCCCTCACGGAGCGGGTTTGCCATGCTCCCCCAGCCCTACCTCGAGAGTGGTCCTGCGGGGCCGGTTGCAGTAGCTGTACAGCTCTTCCTGGCCCTGCGCAGAGCTGAACTCCTGTAGCTTCTCCCGCTCCAGCTCGTTCGTAGAGAAGTAAGACAAGAGCTCGAAAAAGGAGCGCCGTGGCACACAGGAGATGTCCAGGTAGTGGGTGACCAGGTGCCGGATGGTGCAGGGCTGTGGCAAGAGGGCAGGGAGGGATGCATCTGCAAGGCAAGGCAGAGGGGAGAGCTCAGGGCCAGCACTGGGGCCAGATACCTGAGCACTGCCTGCCTGCTGCCCCCCACAGCTCTGGCACTCCCCAGGCGCCCAAACAAGGGCAGCCCTGCTGTCTGCAGGCACCCACACGTTGCATGAATGTGCTTGTAGAGCTGACTTTAGCTACTGTCACCACTGCTCCTCCCATGGGCCCCCACTCCCTCCTGCTCTCCACAGCTTGTTTTTCAAGCCCACACATTTGCAACAGAGAATGTCAGTGGTGTTGAGCTGTCCCTCACTTTATGCAAGTGCTTTAGAGCAATGCCTTACCCATATGGGTCCCACCTTGTCTGCACACAATGCAGTGGAAATAACCAGTGGTGTCATATGTGTCAGGCCTGTCCTTGTCTCCTACTTCTCTCCCAAGGGGGTGAGGAGTAGCCTGAATTTCTTGGGTTTGCCAGCCAGGCAAAAATCCCAGCACTGACAGACACACAAAAGATAGAGGGGCAAGGGACATTCAGGGGACAGGAGAGAAAGCTCTCCCGGTACCATGCAGACTGCAAAGCCACCAAGGGTTCCGAAGGGCCTCCAAGGGGTTTCTCTAGTTGTTGGTGCTGGTTTGTGCCTGCAGAAGCACCTGCAGTAAGGTCTCTGGTGAGCAGGCAGAGTGAGGAGACCTGCATGCCCCAGGCAAGGAAGCATAGGCTTCCCGACTTGGGCCTTGGGCTGGGGAGGCTGCGGGATCCTCCACGCTCTGTGCCGGGGGCTGCAAAGACACAAGGCACGGCTGCAGCCTGGACACTGCTGGATTCCTCCCATGAGTCACACTTGCCCTAATGCGGGATCCACACGCGCATAGCACTGGGAAGGAAGGAGAGCCCCCACACTGCGAGACAGGCAGATGTCCTGTATCCATCAGCCACTCCCAACTCCCTATTAACCAGGTGTACAGCAAAGGAAAAGCAGAGCTCCAGGCTGGGCCAGAGCTCAGGGGGCTGCCCTGTCCCAGCAGGGAGGGACAGGAGCAGGACCTACCAGGCTCCGTGGGCTTCAACACAAAGCGTCTGTCTGGATCCAGGCGCAGGAGCTGGCAGAACTGCTGCACATCTTCAGGGCAGTTCTGGGGCTGGATCATCACCACGTCCCCGGCACTGAACCTGTGGATGCAGTGGGACCTGCTGAGCACAGATACAGGGCAGGCCCACAGGCACAGCACCACCAGCCTGACCAGCACCGGCACCAGGGGAGAAGCCACAACTCAGTGAAATTTCCAGTGTCACTAACACTGTGCTCTGTAACCTGACAAGGCAAAGAGAGCTGGTCCACAGACAGGACCCATGCTGCTGTATGCCCCTGACTTTGTCACGGAGGACGACAGTGCAGCAGAGACCACATCCGCAAGGCTGCAGCCTCAGATATTACTGAAGAAGGGGAGTGGAAGAGGAAGACAGGCTACAGGACACCCGATCCCACACAGCAAAGCTTGGGGGAGTTAGGAAAATGCTCACATGATCCCCGAGCCTGTGACATCGAACTCGATGAGCCGGACATCCTGGAAATGGGATTCTGCCGTGACCCGCTGATTGGACACCACCCGGGCAGCGAAGGGATGCAGCTCAGAGGGAACAGCTCTAGGTGCTATTGGCTGGAGCAGGCCACCATTGGGGTACGGGGAGTCCTCAGCCAGGTAGTGCAGGGTGTATTTTGGGGGTGGGCTGTGGGGAGGAGAGCAATGCAGTGCAGTTACCTCCATGCCACAGTTCCTCTGCTGCTGTAATGCTAGAGGCTGGAGGCAGGGAGAGGCTTGAAGTCTCCCACTGTATCCGCCACCCATCATCGCTGTCCCCTGGAGCTGGCTTGTGGTAAGAGAACGCAATGCAGACTGCCAGGAGAAGGAGATTCCAAAGGCCGCAGAGCAGGCAGAGGGAGGATGGCTGGGCACACATGCTTAGCAGGTCTGCCAAGGGCAGAGGCACATCAGGACAGCAAGATGGGCAGAACCCTGCCACGACAGCTGACACACACACCCAGGGGACAAGGGGATACCCCATCCAAAGAGAGACAGGTCACCTGTGGCCAAAGTCCAAGGGATACTTGGGACACCACAAGCTGTGTGGGGAGGCTTCCTGGTCAAAGCAGGGCACATCTGCACCCCAGAGAACAGCCAAGGAAGCGTGGCATGCAAGGAAGCATGACACCAGCCAGCTCCAGCAGTCCCAGTCTACCCTCTGCACTTACCGTACATCTGGACTGATGATCTCAAGGCCAGGAGGAAGAGGATACAAGGCAAGGATCTTGTCCCATAAGGCCAGGAGCCATGGATCTACCACTGCATCTGGCCTGCAAGCAGGAAATTCAGGCTGCAGCAGTGCAGCAGCATCGCTTCAGGCTCAAGGGCTGCTACCCCTGCACCCAGACAATGCTGGGCTGCCCCTGGGCAACCACCTCTGCTCCTCTTGCTGCACAGTTGCTCCATGCCATTCCCTTCCAGCTTCAGGTCTAGAAACATGTCTCAGCCACTCTAAGCACTCACTCGCTCTCTGGGGCCCAACCACTGATGTCTGAACAGAATCACCAACCCCCCCGAGCACAACTGGTGGCAGTCACTGACTCCCCAAGCCACACATGGCCTCTGCCCTGTGCAAGGAGAATAGCAGCACAGCTCAGGCTGCTGTAATGCCTGCAGGTACGCAGATGTGTGACACAGCCATCCCCCGGTCTGAACAGGACTGGGGCAGAACCAGGAGACATTGGCACATGCTGGGGGTTGTGGGACACCCTGGAGAAGCAAGTGACCCAGGTCCTGGCACAGGAGAGTTATGAGCAGAGAGCACGTTCACAGAGAGCAGCAGGAGGCTGCTGACCATGTCTGGGGTGCAGGAGCAGACCCCAGGTGGGAGCAGTGCACTGCTGTCCCCAGGGCTAGAGTAAAGCATACACAGCCCTGCCGGCAGCCCAAGGACAAAACTGTAGTGCACCCCAGGGCTCCCCCCCTGCTCCCCCTCCACTGGGCTCTTACCCTAAGTCATGCTGGTCGTCTCCCAACGCCACTGGCAGCAGAGGGTTGCCCCCAAGCTGTAGCAGCCGTTTGTGCAGCTTCTTCGCAACAAAATTAAACCTGAGCAGAGAATAGTCGCAGCTGCAGAGGGCAGGGCTCCTCCAGCAGGACAGCGGGCACTGGCTACATGAGCCAGCACACGCTGCCAGGGCTATGCCAGAGCAGCACAGAGGCAGGTCCAGCCACAGCCAGCATGCACGACCTGGCCCCGTGCCCTGCCCAGCCTATGCCTCCATCCTGGGGCAGCTTGGAGAAGCAGCTGGCTCCCACTTGCTGGGCCACACAGCTCCCAGAAGGGACTTGGGGAGGTCCAGCTTCCCTTCAGGGCAGCTTGTGCCCCAGGCAGAGAAACATTTCCTTCCCTCTAGCCCCTCACTGCCCCGCGGAGCTCAGGCACACTCCCATCCCTCCCATCACAGCTTTTTCAGGCACATGGGAACAATCCTTTGGGAGAGAACTGGGACCAATGGGGCTGGCTGCCACTTAAAACTCTGTTTCACGTCTCCTGTTCGCTTGGTCCACTGAAATTGCTGTGGCACAGGCTTTCCTGAAATTCAGAGAACTCAATGGCTGTAATAACTGACTGAAAAATGATGTCTGACAAACTGCAGCAAAGCATCTGCTTGAAGAGGCTGGGAGGAAAGAAATGGGCAGAAGCCCAGTTCCTGGAAGTCATGAGGGACATGGGCTGGTGGGCAAGCATTTTTAAGGCTGGTGGGAATTACATTTCATCCGAGCTGCTGCTCTAGAGTCAGGCTCTGTCTTCCCTTACCGCCTTCATTCTCCAGCCACTCTGGTCTTGCCTGCAGCCAGAGCTGCGAGGAGCAGTTGTCACAGGAAGGCAAGGAGCCGCAGAGCTGCTTACTTGGGATAGGAGGAGTCGCCAAGGCCCAGCACAGCATAGTCCAGCTGGCAGAGGGAACCGGGCGGTAGGTTCTTCCGGAACAGAAACCGCCAGAACATCTACAAAGGACACAGCCAGGGAGTCATGCTGCTGCCAAGAAAGCCTTCCCTGCCTGCCTGTCCCTAGCACCCCACTTGTCCACCCACCGGGTCCCTCCTGCTCTCTGCTGAGTCCCAACAAAGTGGGGAGCACGGCCTTCTGCAGAGATGACCGCTGAAAGTAGCCACCACTGCTACCTGCCACGAGGACGATGCTCTCTCAGCTGTTAAGCTGCTGAAACCTCACCAGCTCCCTGCCCATGTCCCATCAGTAACATGAGATGTGACTGGTGCTGCTCCAAAGCCCCCCCCTCCAAAAATAACTGTTGCTCAAGCTGCAAAGTAGAACTATGGACTGAAAAGAAATCCAGTCACTGGAGCAGGAATATAAGAAGAACATAGACAGGAGCGTGTCCTACCTTCATGTTGTCAGGTGGGTCACCCTGGCCAGTGGTTGCACAGACAAATATCACCAACAGCTCATTGATGAGGTTGGCCTGCGGGCACCAACATGGAAAAGCACATTCAGGTCAGCAACCTACAAACGCTGTCCCAACACAGCTGTTAACATCCCATCCCATTCATGAACAGACCACACTCGGAATAAAACCCACAGCCCCACGTGGCACAACCTTCTCTGCGGGCACTGCAGCACCTGCTGCCCACACGCTGCCTGTAGCATCAGCTCCTTGGTGCGCCTTATCTTGCGGGGTACAGCTGAGCATCTGTCATCTAACACAGACTCTATCCTAAGAGTCACTGCTCAGTTTTCACACCTTTTCAGCTGAGTTAAGCACAAGCTGCCCTCAGGAAGGGCACAGAGCCAGGGTCTGGTGAAATACAGCAAGTCACAGCAAGGGTAGAAGATGCCTGAGCCCGAGAAATGGGGTTGGTGGAGATGGAGCAAGACCAGAAGTGCCTGGAGCACCCCTCTGCATCATCACTCACCACGTCATAGCTGTCCAGCGCCTCCACTCTGCACTGAAAGTGGCGTCGCTTGGCTTCTCTGCCAATTCTCTCAGCTGTGTCTTGAGCTGTCCCAGTTTGGCTGCCAAAAAGAACAAGGAGTTTCCGTTCCACCATCTGCAAGAGACAAAACAAGAGGAATCACCAGGAGGCGAGGGGAGGTGTGGGGAGGCACAGCCACACCTGCTCTGGGCTGGGCGTCACAATGACACCCACCCAGGCTTTAAAGGAGTGCTGGTGGCTGTGGGTTCAGGTGACATTCGCAGGGTTGATACTGCAAACAGCAGGCACAGGGAGGGCTGATTAGTCTGGAGACAGCAGCAGGATTCAAGGCTCCCGGGCTCTCTTTCCACCCTTGGGCAGTGCTGAAGGAGTAACACCCCCTTTGCTGCAGTGTCCCCATCCACAGGAGCAGCAGTGACACTACTGGGCTCCTTGTCCCCACTGCTAGGACAAAGGGAGGAGGCTGGCTTGGGAGTCCAAAATCCAGGGACAGCGATCCACATTTGGGCTCATTTTAACTGTCCTCATCACCGCAGGCTCAGCACACCCCTGGGATCAGCTGTTCCCCATTTCTAGTTTGAACATTTCTGTCTGCCCTGCAAATCCCCACCTGAGGGGGCTGGAGGAGACCTCGGGAGCTCAGCGACGGAGAAAAGCGTGATGAGACACACTCTGCCCTCAACTGCGCTCTCTGAAGTGGCAAAGACCCTGGGTATTACCAGCAATCACAGCCCACAGGGAATCCAACCCAGACAGATGCCCGAGCTGCAAACCACCGGCGTCCCCACGGGCAGCACGTGCTGCTTCCAGAATAACTAAAAAGAAAAAATCCTAAGGAGGGTACATTACTGGCCTCGTTACAGATGAACTCCTCCAGAGAGGGGCTGCAGCATCACAGGATTTCCCCCTTGCCCTGAGAAAAGAAAAAAAAAAAAAAGGGCTTGGTTGTTTTGGGGTTTTTTTTTTTCCCCAGTGGGAGCACTCTGGGACACACATCAGGACCGTCGGTCCCTGTGCAAGGCCTCGCTTCCCTCACAGCCCCCGGGGAAGGGGAGGCAGGACCCCCCCCGCAAAACCCCCCTTGGGGTCTCTCTGGGTGCACCCGCCCTTTGGCAAGAGGGGGACGGGGACGGAGCCGGGGCTTAGCCCCCGGCTCCATCCCCCAGCCCCCGCTAAGACCCACCGTGCCCTCACCGTACACCATCCCCGCCCCGCTGCTTCCGCTTACGTCACCAGCTAGCACCGCCTCTCTAACGTCATCACTCTGCGCCGCCGAGGGGCC